TGCCGTGATGGTTGGATACGCGAACTTAGTGGATAACGAAGTTTAGTCGGAAAGCAGACAGTGGATTTACACACCAGGAGAGCATGACTTCCTCTTTCCCTATGAAAACAAATAAAGATTCATGATGATCTAGAATTGAATCGGACCTCAGTCTCAAGCACCAGCAGTGGCTTTACTCTTGCTTTTTTCAAATTTAGAAACCTAGCCCGGACGCCATGATCTCTCAGTAAAACGCACGATACACCCTGCCTACATGACTAAATAAGAATGTTAATTAGTAGCATCTGGACCGTATTTGCCAGTTCACAGTCCTGTGCGAAAAGTCGTCGGCTGACCAGCGGTTTACTGGCTTGTGTAAATGCATGAACTGAAGTCCACGGTCCCTCAGACGAAAATTTCGGTTCAAATTAAGCTAAATTTGATCAAAAGCATGGCCGTTTCAGTCATAGACAAAGTGATTTTTTGAGCACATGGAAGTGTCCCCCGCTCGCACATCGTCAGCGACAAATTGGTCTAACTGAGTACGAGCCCACAACTAGTCGTAATAAACATCGCTTTTCCCAGTTTCACTGTACTGAGAAAGTAGAATGCTTGTGGCAGTTGTTCGTGCACCATATTCCGTTACACTGCTCGCGAGCTAGATTCCGAATTGTTCAAGCTTTTCCTGTCGTCAGCGCCCAACTCAGATTAGCATCCAAATTTTTGCGAACCGAAGGAAACTAGCCAGTGAGTGCTGGAAACAGTATCAGGTTGACAGACGCGTTGGGTAAATGTTGAATCAAGTAGCTGCACCTTGAAAAGGGGGGTACACATGCGTTACTACTTACCGAACCATTGTGGCTGGTCATTTTGAACCTCAATGGCGAGGCCAAAATCGGCCAGCTTCACTGCAGCGCCCTTAGACTTGCTAGCCAACAACAAGTTTTCCGGCTAAAAGAAACGGTAGACAATAAGAAAACGAGGTCGAATATCGAAGACGATGTGAAGTGCAGAAGTGTTAAAACCCTTCTGTGAGCATGCAGAAAACGGATTCTGTCACCGACGTGGACCGTGTGCTTTCGTTATACATGAATATCGCCACATTGCGATGATACTGTAATACGGAGTCGCGAGGACAAAAAAACGGAACAGTCAAGGTGTGCTTTCGAACGATCGCGTCAGAGTACAGTGCGTCACCAAAAGGATGACGACAACATCTAGCTGGAATACAGTGCTCAGTACAAGTACATGCAGAAGCGGACTTGTGCTTCGGTAGAAAGCAAAAACTGAACCAGGATTCAAATAAAAGAAACAAAGAGCTAAGCAAGCTCAACCCAGCTGCAGGTTCTGACATGCTGGATGTGGGAAAAGCAGCGTGGGGCAGAACGCGTGAGACCAACCTTCAAGTCTCGGTGAACGATGTTATTCTGATGACAATAGTTCACGCTTTCAATGATCTGCTGCATACAATTGCTGCAATAAACAGATTGAAACAGAAGCGCAATAAGGCGACCGAAGTTGTTAGGAGCCCTAGTACCAGACGTTTAGTGAATGTCAAGGGAAAGGAAGAGTGATTAGAATGCGTGTGTGGCATGGTCCACCTGACCAAACAAGGAAATCGACTGGACTGACCTCCAACAGCTTCATTGCCAAAAACATACACTCTGAAGGACAGTTTCTCGAGTGTCGAAGAAATGGTGCCGCAAAATCGAGACCGCCGATGGGAAAGAGAGTGAAGTAAGAGTAGTAGCTACGTGAGCACATCGGACCAAGAGTAGGCTATCCGATTGGGGGACGGTGATATGTCACATCCAGCTATGTATGAAGCGCACAGGCTAACAGGCTTACCCAAGTGAACCTGCACCTTCGCTACTGCACACCGTGAATATAATGAATGAATTGGCCAGTGATTTCTAGACCGCAGTGCTTGGTATTTCTGGTCTCTTGAGGAAACGCTGACCGACCAATATGCTGCTGCTGAGAGGCCAGAACAGCAACACGAATCACACAGAAAGCATGTAATCCACTTGATTACGTTGCGTTCAGCTGAACCAAGAACTCATCTTCATAGTGTACGGGAATGAAGAAACATGAACCTACAAAGCCTATAGTTTATGTGGAAATGATGGGGCACCTAATCAACGATGACCGCGATAGCACTAAAATGAAGCGTTCATCACACACACACACACACACAGAAAAATGTTGTGCGATAAACTTCGGGGGCTAGTGGAAGTAGCATTACAAGGTTGCACGGCTGCACGCCAATAGTTCCATTGACTGCATTTTCTACTCGTATAAAAGCCACACCCAGTCATTAAGAGCACCAATTCTCGAGATCATGCTTTAGCAGTGCACCTGTTATGTGGATTGCGTGTGATCATCAGATTATGCAGTGAGAAACACGGTTAGGGAAACATTATCCAACTATCGTATGCGAAACCCATAACCATATTGATCGAAAATGCTTCATAACACGCAGTGTAATTACAAATCAACCTTCTCTGAAACAGCAAACGACAGACAGAAGAGCTGCATTCGTTTCGCGATCTCTTGACGCGGGAGTTGACAGGCGAAAGCGTGAGTTGGGAAAAAACTGAAATCAAAGCGACGTGTCGCGCGAATAGCATAACTATTCCACTAGAATGGCAGTGGAAGACGGAATCACGCTTATTTGTCTCTCCTACTTGCATTCAAGCAAACCCCTGTCACGCGTCGAATGATTTCTCGGGGTTTTGACACAACTGGCCACGGGAATGTTGTACCATACAAATAAAAGAAATAACCGGTTAAAAATGTCGACCTGTGAACAAAATCAGTCCTTGTGGGTCCTGTTTTGGATGGCTGTGGAAAACTGATCTTCAATGGAGAGGATTGGAACCTAAGTGCAATGGAGGCTATAAACAGGGCTCAAATTGGTTTCGTTGAAGAGTGAAAGATTACGAAACAAGGAGCAGTCGTCCCATGTGATGTCATCAGAAATAGGAGAGACAGTAAGAGAGTAAACGCGACTGTTGGAGAAAAGTAACTTACAGGCTGCAGCTGGGAGTTTTTATTTTTTTATTATTTATTACTTATTTACTTTTCATTGAAGTCAATGGCTCTGATGCGGTAGCGCAGATGACTGTATGGTTAAGGCCGTCCATGTGCCTCACGACTGATATACATCGTTATGGGTTAGTCAGCGCATTCAGGGCTCATAGCTACCACTACCAAGTCAGGGTCTCGCCAGTTCCCCACTGTTCATATCCAGAGCAGTTCAAAATGCGTTCTGCGGGTTGAAAAGTCACCCAACATAGAAATCACGCAGCGAAACCTACAAAGTGCCTGCCTCACCTACCATGAGGTTGGTATTCCGCAAAGCAGTAAACGGTAATTCAGTTGCAGAAATCTCCCCGGAGTAGGATCTCCCAAAAATAGTTCAGTCGCCATTAGAAGACAAAACAAGTAACATGCGTGCAATTTAAATCGAATCCCTTATCTCAATCTAACACTTCAGAGTGCAGGATTATGTTCCTCAAAAAATGAATTGGCCAACAAGAAAGGATACAAAATAACATAATATCAAGGTTTGTAAAGCGACTTTGGACGACGTGAGTAATCGGGTGCAAGCCCGTGCAATGCCGGCCTCTAACTTGTTCGACGGAGCCGAAAACATCGATATTATCCTAAACAAGGTTGAATTTACCCTAAAGGCGATGGATAGCCTTAACCTAGAATTCCTTTCCACTAAACACCCTTTTGGCTGGCGGGTGCGAGCATTTTTAGGCATGTTACAGTAGCTTATGGTAGAAACTTCATGGCTGGCTGATCCCATTTTACAAAGCATAGAGTAATATTAGAGCCAGAATACGAATAATCAGTCTTGGAACCTACAAATCAAATCGCGATAAACGTTAGAAAACCTCCTGGTGAGTTCCATTTTACCTGGATTAGGGGATAAGATCTGCCAAAGATAAGTGAGCATTTTGTGTAGAAGTCATTCCGAAATCACCACCAGCTTTTTGCAGTTTTTACAAAATGATGCGCGGGTGTTGGATTACGTGTTTCAAATTCGGAAAACAGTTCACTCCCACAAAAAAAACCGGCCAGAGTATCAGTCAGAGTAGCTTATAAAGACGAAGGTGGCCAGACGTTTATGATGTGGAAAAAAATATTCAGCTCCTCGAGTGCCCCAAGAAATTTATTTGGAACCTACAAATCAAATCGCGATAAACGTTAGAAAACCTCCTGGTGAGTTCCATTTTACCTGGATTAGGGGATAAGATCTGCCAAAGATAAGTGAGCATTTTGTGTAGAAGTCATTCCGAAATCACCACCAGCTTTTTGCAGTTTTTACAAAATGATGCGCGGGTGTTGGATTACGTGTTTCAAATTCGGAAAACAGTTCACTCCCACAAAAAAAACCGGCCAGAGTATCAGTCAGAGTAGCTTATAAAGACGAAGGTGGCCAGACGTTTAGAATGCAAGCTTAAATTTGTGAAATTTAGAAAATGTTAAACTGCCACAGGGTGTACCATTCATGGGAAGATGAGGGTTAGACGATTTCGATGAAACAAGGTTTACTTCACAGAGCAGTTGAAGGACTTATTAGAACAACTTTATAATAGTTTGCACGGAACTTATTGGAACTATGTCACGTGTTGAACAACCGATTTCACTGTTAATATCTGAGTGACCATCCACCCCCAACTGTAGTCATCCATTGCCTCTCTCGGAACAAGTATGGGGAAAAGCATGCAAGAAGAACAGAACTACACGTTCATTTCGTAACTCCAAGGAAACAGCCGAGTGAACGAATGAGATACCCTAGACCCGGCCTCTGTTGAAGGATACTGAGGAATTATCAAATCAACGCTTGATTGAACGATTTGAACTTGTCTTTATGCTGCAAGCCAGACCTAAGGCATACCTTAGGCTCATATAAGTCCAATTGTCTGGCCGTGACGCCTATCCGCAACATGGCTACCAATCAACACCACAAGCGCGATACTGTCAGGGTACCTGAAGCAACACCATATGTTGCGTTTGCACCTTCCAGACATGAGTCGGCCGGTTTGTATCAAAAACGCCGAATGATTGCTATGCGATTATTCCCCCAGGGTGAACTCAAACTGGGTTCTCTAGTGTGATGGTGCAGGATGGCATCTGATGTTGCAAACCATACAATTCTCCCACCCGTTCCCACTTTTCCCACATAAATTTCGAGGAAATAGAGAGGCGAACGTCTCTTCGAACAGAGTCGCACTTTGAAAGGACAAAGGTGGCAGAAAATTGTGGTCCAGTGCCAAAATCAAATCAGTTTAGCTGAACTTTGGAGTAGAATAATCAAGAATATCGGAAGCGGAGCAAAGCGAGTGTAAGAAGCCAAAAATTTTCAAAACACTGCGAATAAAGCCTAGAGACTCGATGTACACAATCACCCGCAATGTGTCAAGCAAACTTGATAGATGGGAGTTAGAACACGCGCTCGTGTACGTCATGTTTGCTTGAGCACAGAACATACGCGTTCATTAGGAAAGAACAACCATCATTACCTTCAAATCACGGTGTACGATGGCGTTCTCGTGACAGTAGTGAACAGCATCAAGGATAAACAGTATGCACTTGCTGTAGAAACGAAAAATAAGTCCGGACAGGTAGAAGATTAACGAAAGGCGGAATAAGAAGCGGCCAAAACTAGTGAAGTGTGACAACCTTCTCATAACTCATTGCGAACATCAGAAACAGAGTCCGACATCAACTACGGAAGGCAACTATGATCCCCTCGAGCCTCAGGGCGAACCGCAACAAGCAACAAAGTTGTCTTCTGCCGCCCAAAGTGCCCAAGAATTGGGGCGATTGTCGAGCCCGCGCAAATGTTAGAATGGTCTACCCTGCTGGTTAACGGCGGTGCTTCTCTGTTGGTGTGTGTGATGAGGATATCGACTTACTACATGCCACATCACCATGCCTAGCACGCATGTGGATATTTTGGTGGCCTAAACGGCAGCAGGGATAACACTCAAACAAAAATCCGAAGGGAAATTCATGAACGCCCCAATATGCATCACGAGAGTGGTTCACTTTATCAAAGTAGTAAGTTATTCTGGACTGAAAAATGCATAAACCATAACCCTGGTGCTCACTTGACGCGTACATTCAACAAATTCCCTATGAAAAAACTCTCTACCGATACACACGTATGGGTAAGGCAGTTTGACATGATCATCTAGTACCCTGTAACATCTGCTTCCTTCGGGTGGCATCGCGGTTAGGCACCGAAAGGATGTTACACCTGAACGAACATCTGCTAGTCAATTCTCCATCACTGTCTCGTTGCGATCGAGAAGTCTCTAGCGAAATTCTAGTTCCGTGAACACTCCAAGTCCACCGTGTATGTGCACTAGAAAGCTCGGAAGTCCGAGTGAATAAACCTCAACTGCATGAGATTAAAGCTGAATTCACTGGCCCACTGATCTATACTTGGCACAATTACTCACCCACGGTACATCACAGACAGAAAACCAACTCCGAAAAAAACTAACCTGGCATCAGCTTCGCTGTAAAACTCTCGTGCCACAATATCTTCGAACAATTCACCGCCCGTCACGCTAAAAAAAAGAGAGGAAAATCAGCACCTTATTAAATTTGGAGTTTTAAGAACAGGTTCGAGAAAGCACATTGGTTAAGGCGAGAAAGGTCCACGGTTCGAACCAAACCCAGGCACCTTAACTGCTCCTCTGTGGGCTTAGGCAACCTAACAGTATCTCAAACTCTATGCTCCCATCAGGTAGTGTGACAGCTAGACAACCGAAGGCATGTTACAGATAATCGGTTAATATCATCATTATTTATTCAAAAAAACAAGTCAACGAGGTGAAGCCAGAGACACTGGTAGTATCCAACTCCTGTGAAAATTGGTTGGTTGACAAAACCGGTCGCATGGTAGGGCGCATTAAACAAGCAGCTGTGATGACCGTCAGGAGAGAATGAACAATTTACATCCATTTTTGATGGGACTATATTTTGCAACGTTCTGATTTCTCTTGTCTACATACACTGTAGGTACGATTGTCTCGGTTTACAATATCCGTAGGAATAGCAGGTGAGGGGGTCTATGCACGGCAGCGTGCGGAACCACGGTGTTACCTGCAACTGATCGAGACGCCGAGGAAACAAGGTCGGAAGGCAATGTAAGGAAGTAGAACATCCGCCAGCGCATTCAACTAACACACTAAAGAATCCGATGCTCATTTGTGTACTAGCTTGATACTGGCTGTACGCTGAGACACCTTTCAAACCACAGAGGAGTCCATTAGTACACTGCCACGTTTATGTGTGTTTCCGTCGTTTTTGCGACGTACGGGATGAGTGCAATGGTAGATATCGAGGACAACACTGTGTCTGACTAAAATCCGTAAAATGTGGTGGGGACCAGTAAATACCCAGGAATATATTCGCATTAAATTTGCGATAGAGTACATTGCGCTTCTCGTTTATCAGTTGCAGTGGCTAAGAGCATATCCCAGTAAGACAGAAGTAGCAAGACGAAACTTCACTTCGTGCTCTTTGCCTAAGCACTTGTCAAACCAATTCACCAGCCGCGAATGTTCGATCGACGGTGGTGGGACACAATGGCTGACAATATGAATTCCTGATCCGTTGACCTGAACCTTCTTCATAAGTATTTCTCGTTACAATGCACCTCAGGGATAAGAGCTCAGTCCGTTGTAGTATGAATAACACGGCCAAAAAACGGCCAATTCAAATACAACGGACGGCATTGAAGAAGGCACATCAATTGGTGGTGAGTCGACTGCCTTTGTTTGGCATTCTGAACGTACACACGTCGCTCGCTTTGCTGCTCCCGACACATGTTTGTTCACTGGCCACTGGATAGAGGTTGGGAATAATGTATGCTCTGTTGTTTGAAGGACACGCATGCATACATGTATGCACAAATACCAAACCAACACACACAGCACGCCAGATACAAGAAACGTTAGCAGACCAAAATGTTACTCTCCAACACAAGCACGTACCTAACGTCCTCGAATTGATCAGTGCTCATGTGACTGACTATCGGGTAGCTTATTAACAAACAAGCATTAGGTGGGTTGTTGTTTGTACACGTAATAAGCAGGGCCATTCGTACGTGTAAGTCGGCTACAAGACTCGAAAGTCAGTCCGATTATGGAAGAGTACTTTATCTAGCGTGCAATCCAGCATGCAACTGGAAATGGTTCATAAACATGCCTTAATGAAATTTTAAGAAGTTACTTTCAGTTAGGTTCAGATCCGAAATATGACCCGCCCAATTCACAACAGAGATATACACAATAACCACGGTGCTCTACACTGAAAGCACAGATTTGAACCGATGTTCTGGAGTCGAAGTAGGAAAATATTCGGTCCTGATGTGTGAACACCAGAACCAAGGTATCGTTCTTTCAACGTGACCCCAATTCATCCGAAGGACTTGTCCTATCTTCCTGTATTTCACAACAGCAATGATTGTCGTCACCGCACACCGGCCTGCAACTCGGAGGATCTTTTCAGCTTTGATTGAAGGTAGTACGTTTTGGCCTCGAGAAAAACCCCTTCAACACCTATTTCTCGATGTGTACCGACGCTGATCGATGAGAAATTTCTAGGCACCGTTTAGAGGCGATCTCGCAGTTAATCGGTCTCTGATCTTTGTGTGCCATTATTTGGACGTGTTCATATTAAAAAGGTGCTGATTCGGGTGACTGATAGCCAGCACTATTCAGTTTACCCCTTGGTAAGTTCCGCGTAGTACTGTGATTAATTCAGGTAGCCAAATACTACCGCAATCCGACACAGTGTAGCCAGTCCAATGGACGATAGGTGTTCATGGGAAGCAACCGGACGAGATGAGTGTCAAACTGGAAACCATCAGACTTCGATAGCATAACTGCGTGCGGTTTGGGGGCGAGATGGGCCAAGTGGTTAGACCGTGGTTACTGACCGGAAGGTCCGTGGTTCGAACCCGACCTCTGTGCCTTGACTTCCCCTGTCTAGGCTTGGGTGACCTGGCAGTATCCCAGCCCTCGTGCTTCCTTCGGATGGCATGGCAGCTAGGCACCAGAAGGGTGCTGCAGCTGAACGATTGCGTGCGGTTCTAGATACATCTATATTTCTGTAATCGCTCCTGGCCAGATATAGGCCTACTTACCATGCGTCGGATTATCATGAATTGTATAGCAGATGCGTATCGAGGAGATATCACCGCTGATTCCCTCACATCATTGATCAAGGTAGCTAAAGGAACCAATACCTAGCTGTCGTGAAAGAGTTAAATAACCCATGTTTTGTCTCATCAGACTATACAAATGTAGTGTCATGAAAATTTAAAACAACCGAACGGTCATCTCAATAAATAGCTGCGTTTTGTAGCGTAAAGATAAGTGGACTTTTTGTTCATGACGGTAAAAGAAAAAATCAAAGGCAAAATAAAAAAGGACTCACAGATCAAACACAAGGTAATGAAAGCCCTCATCCTGAATACTGTCATGGAGGCGGACTGTAAGGGAAGCAAATAAGGATAAGTTTAAACGGGCAGGTAAGGGAGCCTCAGTAAAACTTCACAGACCATTCATCCAAACACGCACCCAGTCTTAGAGGAGTTACTCTGGCAGGCAGTTAAGGACATGAGTTATTTTCCTGTGATTTGCCCGCCCAACTTGGAACTTATATTGCTTTGGATCCCTCTTAATACATGTGTGATAGAGAGGCGAAAACACGGAAGAACCTATCTCCTAGGGCTGATACAAGTGGGTTTTGTCTACACTCGACTCAGTCTCTTCTTATGGTAGAGAGAAGATGGGAGGAATAGGTCCTTTCTGGCTGTGGGAGGCCAATAAACCAGTAAGTTTGGATTGCTCCAAAGCCGAATTTGCTATATGGCGTACAAATTAACATGGGATTACTCTGATCAGGGGACACTCTACTCGACTCGTCAAACGAACTGTTTCGCAGAATGAGATGCATACATACCTCAGTAATTATACTGCCTACCAGACTGACTAGCATTGAAACTGGGGACCCAAGTAAATTGAGGCATCTCGGAAGGCAACGTATAATGTTCCTGTGTTTTGGCTTTTTGCGACAACACACAGTAAATCAACTGAAGGCTAGTAAAAAGCAATCGGTTTTGGCATTCATTCCGAAAACGAGAGTTTGGGGAAGTGAAAATAGGGTAGCCCATCAGTGACGAAAACAAAAGACATGGATTAATATACTCTAATGCTTGGCAAAATTGGACCAGCTGCCGAACTGAAGACATCCAGCCTTCATTAATTATACCATCGACGGGAAAGTTCACACACCAATCGCTTATCTTCACGGAGACACACACGAAAGCCAAAATAGACCATTGGTGGTTGATAAACCGGCTGATAAACTGTCGAAATCCGCTGGGAGGCTTTTATTAAACCTCTGACGGTCTTAGAATCATGTGACTCCTTTGAACAACACTACTGCTGGCGTCAATGCTCAAGAGAATCAACGAAAATCAGTTCGACTGAGTAAGAGACAACTGACAAATGGCTACGGGTGTTCCAAAAACGAAGGTTTTCGTCGGCGATGAATGAAAGAACAGCAACAACTGACTGACATAAAACTGTTGATTTTTAACGCCGGGTACCACCTCATCACCAAAAGTAGTGAACGATGTACTACAGATGTTCCCACCTACAACAGGTCATTCGATTTTACAAATAAATCATGGAAATGGAAAACTCGAAACTATTCACCGTCTTATAACATATAAGACTAGGGTGGATTTTTAGCTCAAGCATCATATAAACTCTAAAACACCCTGATGCCACAATGAGTAACGTCACAACTGATTTCTACCATACATATTTAACGTTTTATTTGAAATTCTCGTTTACTGGTTACTCGCAAGTAGAGGTCACCTCCTAGGGGACACTTCGGTCGGTTCACAGTTTTTCATCCCCTACCTTATACCATCGATCACATTGCAGAGAGTTAGGCAAAAGTGAAACAGGAAATATGGGATAGGAACTAATGAAATATTTCAATGCTTTTGGAGCACATGGTTCACCAGCAACTCGATACGATTCATAAATTATGGGCGAGCTGCTGATCAGAGGGTCGGCGCTTCTCAACTATATCTGGCTTTTCCAGTGTGTCCCTGATCAAATGTGAGCACACTAGCAGTATTTTGTGCATTCTTTGTTTTGAGAAGCAGCTGCAGCTTGAAGGGACGCCACTGATGAGACATATGATTCTTTTATTTTGGAGAAACGATTGGGTTAAAAAGCCTGCTATAATCCGAGTCTAGTGAGTTCGTGGAAGACCGAAAACGGTAAGCATCAATAACCCCAGGCAGTCAATGACGTATCGGCCATGGAAGACCACGTCAATGAATAAAAAGCTATTTCATCGTAATCTGTGGAATACGACAACTTCATTTCTCACATGAATCGGCTTGTATCAAATATACACAGACATACAGAGACAGATACAAGGGATAAAAACAACGAACCAATATTTGGATGCTTCAATAGCCTGCATATGCGTGCTTCACGTTCCAGTTTCTGCATATCTGAAAAGAGGGAACCGGCATAACAAAGTGAACAAATGACACGCAGGGTCACAACTAATAGTGGCCCGATATCAACGCTTAAAAAAGATCAAGGCACTTATGCTGGAAATGAAGATTGTTGAAGATCGTCCCTGAGGAAAAATAGTTGACCAAAGGTGCACTGGACGAGCGGTTATGTTTCTGAAACCCACCAGACCGTGCTTGTCACTTTAGATCGTGTATCGAATAAACAGCGTAGAGAAATTGTAAAACTATAGATAAAATTGCAGAAGAACAATGGGAAAACACTGTCCTGTTGCTCTCCACTACCGCGATTTACCTCTGTATGTCTGTAAATCAAGTAAATTGAATAGTACCAAATCTCCCCACATTACCGCGAAGATGATTACACTGGTCTATGTATCGAAATTGGTTATGAATCGTATTACTGGCGCGTACAACTGGGGGGAGAGACGGCTCAGTGGTTTGTGTGCGAATTTACTGACCAGCAGGTCCGCGGTTCGAACTCGACCTCTGTCTCCTAACTTCCCCTGTCTAGGCTTGGGCAACCTGGCAGTAGCCCAGCCCTCGTGCTTCCTTCTGGTTGCATGGCAGATGGACACCGAAAGGGTGCTACAGCTGAACAATTTTTTTATTACTGGTGAAAAGTTGGATAACTGTCCTCGAATTTCTAGTCCTCAAGTAGGAAAGGCATCCGGTCTCGAAAGTAACTCTGGCCTTACTCACAAGGGACGAATGAAAGCTTGTTCGGTATGGCAAAACTCACAGAGGGTACTTAGAATGGCATGTATTAAGGGTTAATCCTACCTTGAAAATGCATCTGAATGTGAGACTCATCGGAATAGCATTCTGGTCATTATCACCTCCAATTGATGATTACTCCACAAAGATTTACCAATACTCATAAGAAGCAGTCCAGAAAGTGGATGTGCTGACCATCCCGTCACCTTGTGACAGCTCCAAGATAACTGGTACCAACGTGGGGCGACGGCTCAAGTGGTTGGAACGAGAATTTACTAACCGGAAGGTCTCAAGATAACTCCAACGTGGGGCGACGGCTCAAGTGGTTGGAACGAGAATTTACTAACCGGAAGGTCTGTGGTTTGAACCCAATCTCTACCTACCTACTTCCGTCCGGGTTTGGGAAACCTGGCAGTATCCCAACCCTAGAGCTTCCTTCGAATGGCGTGACAGCTAGGCACCGAAAGGATGTTACAACTCAATGATTTTTTTGCAGACATTGCGTGTCAAATACATAAGCCAGTCAATACAGACCATAGTTTTAGACAAATTACACAATGAGGGTCCTGCCGCGTAACCAAATACTCAATTTCTAACCAACTTGTTGCGGGTTAGTTGGTACTACTCCGCATCAGTTATCACTCTGAGACAACAGCCATCATAGACTTAATAGTCCTGTTCGGTTGATCCAAAAGACTACGTCTCACGACCATATGGCAAAAATGCTTGTGGTGAAGTATACCATACGTCGTGGTATTTCGACGTATACCACGTATTGTTGAGGTGTTTCAAATTGGAGTTTGCAATTTCGGTCTGTTCCCTTAATCCGTCACATTAGTCGGAGTTGATTCAACTTCCAAGATATGTGAACCGCCCTTCAACATCAGGTGTCTGCTTGGGTTGTAGGGGACGTGCTCAGTGACCATATGTCCGGGAGGATGGCCACACTTTTTGGATGTGATGACTGTATGACATTGGCTGATTCATAAAATAGCCCCGGACCTTTTCTTCCTCGCGAACGAAAACAATATCGTTTGCATATACCAGGTCTTCGTCGCGGCATTCTTAGCGCTGTAGTTCCGGGGTATTCCAGCGTTCACATCCCTAGTCTAGTGAACCGCGAAGTAGAATTATGATAGAAAGATTTTGTCTTAATTGGATTAAGTATTTTGGAGTGCCACTTATATTCCTGTTCCTTTGGTGATCCGACGGGAGTTTAGAGAGGTTACGCTTTCTAAAGACAATTATGGATAGAACGTCCTTCCGCTTTGCAACGAACTTGTTATGCGGAGGTTGAAGGTGCACTTCAGCGTCCTGAACGGTGGGGGCTTCGCTAACTTCAGCAATGGGTCTCGTTAGAAGAACTTGTTCACAACTGACCTGTGAGTGAGCGAAGCCTCGACACCATAAAACTGCTTGTGAAGCAGTAAATGCAGCAAAGTATTTGTTTTTCAGTGACAGATTTCGTAAAAATGAAGATGGTCGGAGAGGAAATGATATATGGCGCAGTCCCAACACCTTTTGCATAGTGAAGTCATGATCGACGCAACCCCAGGCCTGATGCCAATCTTAGATTTGTGGTACTGAGCTAAACTGGACGGATTTGGGAGAATATATTCATCACGGAAGTGGTCACTACCCATAAGTTACGCCCGTTTGGGTGCGTGCTCCGCAGGACTCTTTTCGTCCGACCGTATGCAAAGTAGAAGAGGTCTAAAGATAGCCAGTCTGTTTTCATACAAATGGGTGTAGTTCGCGAATGGTCAGTCTATGTTCTAACCGCGCAGTATGGTAGCCCTGACCAGTGAACACAGTAACGTTGAAAGATGTCATCTTCTATGGGGACTACGATGGGGAGTTCGCCAGTAATTGGTAACTGACTACATAGCACAATCGCGCAATCAATGGCGCACATGTATTAAAGATGTCGCCTTTAACGCATAGCCGCTTAGTTCCTCCGCTATGAGATCGGACGATTTGACGTCGTTTAAATCGCTGTCATCGATTCATTCGTGGACACCCTCCTGCCATCCGGTTTTGGTGAAGAAAACTTTAGCAA